CAGCAGGACTTTTATGTTCTCTATTTTCTCCTCATGAAAATTATTTACTTTGTTACCCTTCATATACTATTTCCTAACGATTAAATTGCTCTCTAAATAAACTGAATTGCTGTTTTTTTTTTCTTCATAATTTCAGCTGCTCTTCCTTTAAGCCTATGTAAAAATTTTGTTTTTCTGGGTGGAAAAACTGAGTTTCATCAGTTTACTCAGCTTTACAGAGCTTTACATCAGTGCAGAGATAAACAGAATACCCAGCACATTTACTATGTCAGTGTTTGTATAATGTCTCAAGCAATTTAATGTGGAACAAAGCTGAAACAAGAAGTCCATAATATTGATTAGTCTATTGGCAGAAAATGAATCGGAAACAGTTATGATAATGGATGAACCTTTTAAATCACTTTTTATGTAAAACTTAACTGGTTCCACCCTCTCAACTGTGAATCTTTGCTAGTTTCCTTTTTTCCACATTAGAACAATGTGGAAAAAATGTAATCTGCATTTCTTTAGCGTGAACGCCTGTTTTTCAGAAACGACAGATTAAAACTCAAATACATCTTCCTTTCATTATTCTACAGGCTGCGCAGTGAGGCTGCTAATTCACTCTCCATTATCCACCCCCCCAGCCAGCGCTCAGACGAAGCCTGCTGCTAACCTCTGCCCAGGCAGGAGCCCAGAGGTTTTAGAGGTTGAACTGTGTGCGCAGTGTTTTCCCTGACTGGCTGCTAAATATGAATGAGTGAGAATTGGTCTTTTCCCTCTTAAGAGTTAGTGTAGGTGCTTTTATGCAAAGTATCAGAGGGGACTGTTGTGGTGAAAATCGAACAGAGGTTAGAGAAAAAAATTGTTTTATTTGCAAATTGTCTCAGGATAAATAAAAAAATAAGCAGCAAGTTAACTATGTTGTCAAAGATGTGGTCCACAGGCGGAGAGAAAATGTGCCATTCAGTGGCTGATTTGAAGTAATTACACAGTATGCACAAATTAAAACCTTGAGGGTCATTTATAATCTTAGATTATACATTTGGTCTAATATTTGGCACATCAGGGGTTCTGCACAAATGTCTTTAAGCCTTTCAAAATCAAGTGACAGCCTGGGCCTTTGAAATTACTGGAAAGTCATCATGGTAGTACAACAACTGAGAAGTACTGTAGTGTGCTCACTCAGGCGTGGTAATGCAGTCATTTTCGTGAAATAGCCATTGATTAAGTGTTAGTTAAAGTTAATCACTGACATACTTTGACACACTGAAATTTGAAGCAAACGAGTGACAGATGAAAGGAAAAACCAACCAAGTGTCTCAATGAGGTGCTGGGCCACCATGTGCCACCAGATCAGCTTCAGTGCACATTGGCATTGATTCTACATGTCTCTGGACTCTACTGGAGGGATGAACACCATTCGTCCAAAAGATATTCCCTCATTTGGTTTATTGATGATGGTGATGGAGAGGCATCTGTCCAATACCTCCCATAGACAGGGCCGCTGACGTTGGGGGGGCACTGTGTCAGTTGTCCCGGGTTCTGGGTCAGTATATGTGGCCCACATGACACCTGGTTATTTTTATCTGCCTAATTTTTTTTGACATAGTTGGTAAAAACAGTTTTACTCTCCCCCCCATAATGCTGCTATAACGAGGCATTCACATATTCAGTAAACTTGACAAGGGACCGGTCATAAAAGTCAGGCACTCAGAAAAGAAAAGAAAAATGAACAGGACAAAATGACAGCAGAGGTGCGTGGGACTCTATGGTCATTTATTTAAAAAATATAATCAAGTGGAAGATGAAGCTTCAAGTACAAGTACAGCCCCACCAGGTATTAATAGAGAGCAAGGTGAGACATCAGTTTAGCTTAAACATCTGGTACTTAACACCGCTACTAATAGATACCACCTCAGCTTACCTTTAATCTCCAGTCATTAGCGTGTATAAAAATCTAACAATGCATCTTCTGACAAAAACACCTGGGATGGGATGGTAGCTGCGTCAGAGATGAGAGGAAGGGGCAGTGCAGGTTTAGGCTGCTTCAGATGTCAGTTATATTTTTTTCTATGCAAAGTAGTGTATGATCAGATGGTTAAATGACTTTAGCAATTTTCCATCTCTGTGATTGAATTTTGGAAGTGGGACTATAGTTTTAGTGTTAGAACAGGCCTATTTTTGAATTAAATGTGTAGGAGATGAGAGTTTCTTTGCTGTGTGCAAATGACTGCACATGCCTTTGTGCACGAAGTCTGCAGGAGTAGGAGCCGGGTCGTGGTGGTGGATGACTCCACAATTTTGCATTGATTTGCAGGGACCTGTTCCTCTTAAGGGGACAAGTGGACCCAAACCTTGGTAGCATCTGCATTCCTTGTTTCTCCACTCATTTTTAGAGGTTTTTCCTTTAAGTCTCCTCTTTGTGTCTCTACAGGCATTGTTGTACAGTACAGAATGCATATTTTGTTCTTCAGCACATTCAGATTGACTGAAAATAACACATCATACATTAAAGTGCTAAGTTTCAGCTTTAATTTGAGGTTTGTGGGAGAAATAGCCCTTTTAACATATAGT